ACCACAATCCTCATTCCTCTATACATCCAAGTCGGCCATGTTTGAAGGTTAGACTAGGTGGGTGTCATTCAATACTCAACAGCGGAAGTGGGAACCGCGCCGCCAACAAGGACGGCGACGAGCTGTTTTCACGGGGCCGGCAGACGGCAGGGCGCTCCACAGATGCGCGTGAGGTACCGCCCAAGTGGGAGCAGTCGTTGGCCGCGTCCCTCGCTCACCCAGACCCAGACACACGTCTGACGCTCAAAGAATTTGGCCCCGGCTTTTTATACTGCACTCGGGGCCAACCAACCGCTGGAGTTTTATTTTGGTGACATTTGAAAGAAGTCTGTAACGTTTAACACATATTTAAGCCCAACACACATGTGACACTTTTTTTTTGGTCTATTGAAATTAATACACGTGACAACAGATGGTTGTATTTTAAAATCGATATTAGAACTTTAAAAAAATCTTAGGTCGTTTTAAACTCCCAGCAGTTTCATTTTTAAAAGAAAACAGATTGAATTCTTGGTTTAAACTTGTTTTAAAGAATAAACAAATCTGAATCGTCATGTGATTTAGAAATATTCCCCCTCCCCCCTCTTACGTTAGTTAGTTAATCTGTAGTTCTAGATTATCATCTGCCTTGAATTTATTTTAGAACAATGCTGCTATGATAGACAATTTACTTTTTTTTTTACAGTCATCTACACATCAATTTAGGTTCGTCTCTCTCTTGTTTATGTAACCAATTGTTACACAAAGTAAAAAAACAAAACTTACAAATTCACAAATTCAGTAACAGTTTTTTTTTTTTAAATCTTCGCTGTAAAAAAAAATCGAAGATTAAAAAAAAAATAATAATTGTTTAACAATACCACTCAAAAGTTACATGACCCATTAAATCGAATTTTTCTTGAAAGCTGTAACAATGTCTAGGGTTAAGTTTCAGTGGAGCTCTTGACTGTAATTTTACTTTCTCTGTGTGTGTGTGTGTATGTGTGTATGGATGAGTGGAGGGGTAGGGGGAGATGGTGGCTCTACAAATACATACATACACGTCTACTCCCCAAAAAACCTGGTTTCAATGATGTAGTCTACACCTCGTCAATGCCGTAGTAACCAGTGGTCAGCTCTCTAGTCAGTGGTCAATCTTCTAGTCACCAGTGGTCAATTTTCTAGTCAGTGGTCAATCCTCTAGTCACCAGTGGTCAGCTCTCTAGTCAATGGTCAATCATCTAGTCACCAGTGGTCAATTTTCTAGTCAGTGGTCAATCCTCTAGTTACCAGTGGTCAATTTTCTAGTCAGTGGTCAATACTCTAGTCACCAGTGGTCAATCCTCTAGTCACCAGTGGTCAATCCTCTAGTCACCAGTGGTCAATTTTCTAATCAGTGGTCAATCCTCTAGTCACCAGTGGTCAATTTTCTAGTCAGTGGTCAATCCTCTAGTCACCAGTGGTCAATCCTCTAGTCAGTGGTCAATCTTATAGTTACCAGTGGTCAATTTTCTAGTCAGTGGTCAATCCTCTAGTCACCAGTGGTCAATCCTCTAGTCAGTGGTCAATTTTCTAGTCAGTGGTCAATCCTCTAGTCACCAGTGGTCAATTTTCTAGTCAGTGGTCAATCCTCTAGTCACCAGTGGTCAATCCTCTAGTCACCAGTGGTCAATTTTCTAGTCAATGGATAATCCTCTAGTTACCAGTGGTCAATCATCTAGTCAGTGGTCAATCCTCTAGTCACCAGTGGTCAATCCTCTAGTTACCAGTGGTCAATCATCTAGTCAGTGGTCAATCATCTAGTCACCAGTGGTCAATCCTCTAGTTACCAGTGGTCAATCATCTAGTCAGTGGTCAATCCTGTAGTCACCAGTGGTCAATCCTCTAGTTACCAGTGGTCAATCCTCTAGTCAGTGGTCAATCCTCTAGTCACCAGTGGTCAATCCTCTAGTTACCAGTGGTCAATCCTCTAGTCAGTGGTCAATCCTCTAGTCAGTGGTCAATCCTCTAGTCACCAGTGGTCAATCCTCTAGTCACCAATGGTCAATCCTCTAGTCAACAGTGATCAATCCTCTAGTCACCAGTGGTCAATCCTCTAGTCACCAGTGGTCAATCCTCTAGTCACCAATGGTCAATCCTCTAGTCAGTGGTCAATCCTCTAGTCACCAGTGGTCAATCCTCTAGTCACCAATGGTCAATCCTCTAGTCACCAGTGATCAATCCTCTAGTCACCAGTGATCAATCCTCTAGTCACCAATGGTCAATCCTCTAGTCACCAGTGATCAACCCTCTAGTCACCAGTGGTCATCTAGAGAGGATCTAACTTTTTCGTCACCATCTCTACAGTCAATATCTATCTAGTCAGTATCTTTTTAGTCAGTATCTATCTAGCCAGTATCTATCTAGTCAGTATCTATCTAGTCAGTATCTATCTAATCAGTATCTCTCTAGTCGATATATCTTTAGTAGTTATCTGAGTCAACTAACACACAACTGTTGATTGTTGCAAACAGTTGACCGTTTATAAATCACCACTTTTAATCAACACATTTCTTTCCTGTTTTTTTTCTCTCTTAAAACTTACAATTTTTTTTTAATAAATTTAAATTTACCCCAAGGACGATTAAAAACCTGTGACATTGTTTACAAACACGGCTTTTGTAAAAAAAAATTTTAAAAATCTGATATTTTGAGTGGTAATTCAAAGATAAGAACGCGGAACATTTAAAAAGAAAATCTATTCGTGAAATAAAAATAAATAAATAAAAAACAGCGTTCCTCTCCACTGGACTCCGCATTCCGCCGATAAGCAATCGCCTCAACGGATCCTGGCCGCGGGACACCGTCAAATATTTATTTGCGTTTTATGGAGCAGAGCACACGTCGCTGCCATAGCAACGGGAATCGGCGGGGAGGGGGGGGGGAGTCTGGCGTCATGGATCAATACTAGGCTTGTCTCTCGACCGTCCATTGATTCCGTCGACAAGCGGAGGGGAGGGAGGGGGAGAGTGGGGTGGGGAAAGGGAAGACGGACTCTCTCTCTTTCTCAGTTCTTCGACAAAAAAAATAAAAAACTGCGGCCAAACACGTTTTAGAGCGGGCTCATGTGGAGAGGGGGTCGGGATTGAGTAGGGTAGTGGTGGAGGGGGGGGTGGGGTGTATTAGTGAGTGTGGAGGAATTGAGGAAGGGGACGGGGGTGAGAGGGAGGGAGGGGTGGTGTCAAATGGAAATTGTCTATTAAAGCAGTTCACAACCGACACACTAATAGCCGGCAGCCGGCGGTGAGCGAACGGCATCGGTGTGAACTTATTATCAAGACATCTTCATTTTCATGCAAGGGGGGGGGGGACGGACAATCTAATATCGATGTTTCTTACACCGTGTGTGCGTGTGTTTAAGTGTGTGTGTCCTGGTGTGTATGTGATGTGTGTACGTGCGTGTCGACCGTGAGTCTTGATGTGTGTGTGTTCTAGATCCGGGGGTTGCTCCGTAATGAGGATGCTACCTGGGAAGAATTCAACCCTAATGCTTAGAAGATCAATTGTTTACCTGATGAATGAGTTAATTGGTGTTAAATCAAGAACTCTTTAGAAGTGTAGCTGATTTTCAAATCATGAATAGTGTATATTATGTTTGTGTGTGTTCATTTATTTTAATCTACATTTTTATTTGTATGTATTTAATTTTTTTATTCCACCATTTTATATTTTGATGATTATTTTTCATTTTCTAGTGCAAAAAAAAAAAAAGGAGATTTTCACAGATCTAGACGTTTTACACCTCCCTGAGTTTGAAAACCATAGTTTTGCAATTTTTTGTCCGTATGTCTCTCTCTCTCTCTCTCTCTCTCTCTCTCTCTCTCTCTCTCTCTCTCTCTCTGTATGTGTATCTGTAAACACGATAACTTGAGTACCGTTACAGTTAGGTTGATGAAATTTAATATATAAGTATTATATCAAATTTGTAATTGTGTATCAACTTTTCAGTGATTTCTGATATCCGGAAGTGGAACTTCTATTTTACAATTTTTTAAAAGCCTATAACTTGAGTACTGTTTCAGATAGATAGATGAAATTTCACATGTAAGTAAATGATATAATAATCTGCCTTCTGTGAAATGTTGAGTAATTTCCGTTGACCGAAAGTACTAATTTACGCTATTTCCGATTTCTCAAAAAAGCGCATGTGAATTTATAAAGTACTAATAATATGCCGCACTTTGTTTGGCGTTCCCTTGGTGCACAATTCTTTTTTCTACGAGTTTCTATTCTATTTAAAAAAAAGTTTAAGTAATTAAAAATGAATAAAAAATATTGTCTATATCCCGAGTTGCCATTCCCCGTAGTGTTATATAAGAACATTCGAGAACATTTAGAGGAGATTACTCCCGGTTTATATATTTGATGTTTTGATGTCTGTAGAATTTCTGATGGCTGGGGATGTTTGAGTCGAAATCGGCAGGATAATTATTTATTGTAATTCCTAAAAGCTGAATGTTTGTGGTACTTAAGCCTCTAGATTAAATGGCCTTTGGACTAATGCCTCAAGGTTAAATGTTCTTGGTACTTATGCCTCTAGATTGCGTATTTGTTGTACTTTTGCCTAAATGCTGAATATTTGTTGGACTAATGCCTCCAGGTTGGTCTGATCATCATCATCACTGCCCTTCCCCCTTGCTGGGGTATGGGTCACCAACCAAAGATCTCCAGAGTCCTCTGTCCTGCTCAACCAAAGATCTCCAGAGTCCTCTGTCCTGCTGTGGTATGGACTGCCAATCAAAGATCCCCAGAGTCCTCTGTCCTGTGCCATCTTCCCAACCTGAATCCATATGTAGCCCATCTTTGAAAGTTTCTGCTTTCAGGTCCCGTCGCCAGGTATTTCTAGGTCGTTTGCGCTTCCCTTGTGGGTTTCACCTCAATGCCTGTCTGGTGATGTTGGTTGGCGGTCTGCGCAGTGTGTGCCATATCCATCCCCATCTTCCTTTCCTGATTTCTCCTCAGCGGAAAGTTGTCTTGTCGTT